GTTAATTTTAATTAAAAAAATAACTAAACCTAAATCTAATTATTAATTTATTGAGAAAGAGAAATTAAGTTTGTTTAAGAAAATATTTTTGTCTTTTTGTTTTTTAAAGGAATAAAATATAAATGAATATAAATATATTAGATATATAAATAAATAAACTATTTTTTGGATTTTTATTAATAAAAATAATAATATTAATAACAATAATAATAAAAATAATAAAGAAAAACAAAATAAAATAAAATATAAAAATAAAAGTCAGAGGGGTTTGAAATGGAATTTGAGAGTTTGTTAGAAAAAACAGTTTTGAAGCCTGGCCCAATGGTTTTTTTTTTGTAAACAAAAACAAAAACAAAATAAAATGAAATGGGTTGCGTTGTCAAAAGTAAACAGGGGGGTCATAACCAACAAAAATGGGAAGGCCCAGTACTAAGCCTAGCATGCTTGTTTACTTGCAAAAAAGAAGAAAATGTTGAAAAATATAACAAAAGGCAGCGCTGGGACTTGAACCCATGATCTTGACCATAAACGCGCGCTGCCTTTACCACTGAGGTGGCTGTACATCTGTTAACTAAACTAAAACCATAAATATATAATACAAAACAAGTTCTAGAAATGACTTCATCTTCAACCTCTAGCCAGGGTTCCTGTAACTCGCTCATTTCTCATCCATTCACAAAACTTCCAACATCAAACTTGTTAGAAATTTCACCACGATTCTGAATATGTAAATAACTTAAACTAATTCTCAAAGATGAGCAAGGATTTATAAAAGTACTAAATCCTGACCTAACTTTTTTCAGAGATTCAAACCTAAAAATCTCTAAGCTCGTGCCATATAAATGAAAACTATGAATATGTACAACTTCAGGGCAATGATATCTACATTTTATCTTTGAAAATGCAAGCTTAACAATGCCTAAATGAAGAGATAGAAGTTCAGAAAAATACCTCAAAAATTGGAAATCGTGAAATGAGTTTGAGCTTGTTTCAAGTGATGGTGATGATCAAGTTAGCTTCCTCAAATTCCCATGAAGCTAATGCAATGCCTAGCTTGAGCTATGGATGGCTGGAATGGTCTGGAGAAATCAACTTGCAGACTCTGTTTTTTGGTTATGGAGGTTGATGAAGATGGTGTTACAGTTCCAAAATAAGGACAGGGATGGACTATATTTGAGGTATAAAAGCTTTGCAAATGAATTTGAGGGAAAACGCACGAGGAAAATGAGAGATACAAGTTCAAGGTCAGAACTGTGTATCAATGGTGTTTTTGAGAAATTTCTGGTTTGTGAGTGTTTGAGAGAGTTTCAGGGTCTTAGCATTCATGTGTTAACTTGCAAATAGTATCTCTATTTATAAGAAAAAGGTTTTGTGTGCTACAAAAAGTCAGAATTTGAATTCTCAAGTTGTGGCCACTTTACTTGTTTTTTGAAGCAAACATGATAAACATCTTCCCAAAGCTTATACCATGCTATTGTAGAGTGGTTGAACTTTAAACAAGCTTGCTTCTGAACTATAGATGTTGTGTGTGCAGAAGGATCCATTGAGAGGCTCGAGAAGGGTTGACATTTGCAAAAGGCTTGCTTTACTAGAATGGAAATGGTGACTTTCTCCCTAAAATGGCAAAATGCTTTGGACAATGCTTGAATCAATTGGACAATTGATCAATCAGTTCTGTAAACATTAAATTAAGGAGTTATTTTCAAGTTAGACACCTGTAAAGCAAGATTATACAGCTTGGCTTATGGATTTGGTCAAGTGTTCATCACAAAATTGACTTGTAATTCAAGTTCATCGTGCCAGCTTCAAGTCTTCGAATCTCCTAGCTAAAAAATGATCTCTTCAAGTTCTTGGACATTTTGGAAAGCTTGTAATATCCTCTAGAACCTTAATGTTGGAAATTTTTGAAGATTCAATTTGGAACTAGGTAAAAAGTTGCCATGAAGTTAGGTCAAAATCCTGCCTAACTAGGGAAATATTTCACTAAGTCTTTTTAGTTTCATGGACATGTCTTTACAAATTCATAACTTGAAATTCAAGAATTTAAAGAAAAAGTTCTTCCCTACAATGTTTTAGATCTCATTGATATCTACAACTTTCATGTTAGAAGTTTCCCTTGAATCATCTTGCATCATGGTGGAAATTTGGCACAAAGTTGTGAAAAAATGTGAACTTTCCATCACTTAGGAAAAAAAATTAAGTCTTAGAATTTTGACTTTTCAAAAATGAATTTTGACTTTTCAATTTCTTGATGAAAAAGTTTCATATTTTTACATGTCTTGAGGAATTGTAATCTTTGAGACTTGATTTTGATCAAAAAAGTCAAAGTTTGACTTTTCAGTGTACAGTTGACTTTTCATCAGTTGACTAAAATTCATCTGTCAATCAAATGATCTTGAGAGGTGATTTGAACTATACAATTAGGTCAATATGATGCATTTGAATCCTTGAGATAATTTCTTAAACCAATAAGTTATTTGTTAGGTCAAAAGTCAAAAATTGAACATCCTCAGTCAAAACCCTAATTTTGACCATTTTGCCCTTTTGATGATCTGATCAAATTTCTTGAGGAATTGTGATCCATACTTGATCAATTGACATATATGAGTTCACCATGTTGATATGGGTCAAAAATTATGAAATTTGACTGTAGGTTGACCACATTTGACTTTTCATCCAATACAGATGATTTTAGGTCATCTGATCAACTGACTGAGCAAAAATGTGATCCAAAGCTTGAAACTCGACATGAGAAATCTTGAAGGTTCCTAATGATTCATGAAAGTTATTTTGGGCCTTGAAAGTCCAATTGTCCTTATGAAAATTCAAACCCTAATTTTCAGTTGTCAATGGTTAAGGAGGTGTCTTGAGCTGATCAAACCTTGTGTTGTCTTGAATCAAATGGAGATCTTAGGAGAGATTTCCTGATAAATGAGAGAGAAAATTTTGGGGTACAACATTATGCCTTTGTTCTTCTTTTCAGTCCTGTCATTTATGGACATCTTAAAGGTTTGTAAGGAACCAATAAGTTCATCAACCTTAATGTTGCTTTGGTCCTGAGCTTATTCAATAGAAGACACTTTCATATCAAACCTCTTAGGCAATGATCTGAGACTGATCAGACATCTTTTCACCTAAGGATAAAGAGGTGTTGGTAATATCGTGTAATCTGATATGGAATTCACTAACATATTCATCTTTATTCATCCTCATACTATAAAACTTAGTGGTAAGGAGCTACAACCTTGACATACGATCTCTGGACGTGCCTTCATGTACATTTTTTAGAATCTCCCATGCTTCTTTTGACTTTGAGCATGTGTTGATCAGCCTGAACATGTTTTTGTCAACCCTGTTGAAGATATCATTTAAAGGTTTGGAGTTTCCAAAATCTTCATCATCTTCAACATCAGTCCAATCAACTTCTGATTTCAAACTGGTTGTACCATATTCAGAAGTAACTACTGGATGTTTTCATCCTTTTATCACAACTTTCCATGCTTTGTTTCCTAAGGATTTGAGAAAGACAATCATCATAAACTTCCAATAATCATAGTTGGTGCCATCCAGAACATGTGGTTTGTTGGCTGACCCTCCATATTTCATGGTGTCCATTTGAGAAGAATTTATCTTCCTTGAAGCTCAACCAACAAGCTAGGGTTCCTGCTACCAATTAAAATTATGTTCCTCATAGGACAGATGTCGAATGCGATGTCATGTCAATTGGTTCTACAAGTTAAACTAGAATCACCATAACTTGTATAAGATGATGGAGTAGAAAAGCAATAAATAACACAACCAATTGGTAACTCAGTTCGATGCAACCTGCACCTACTTCTGGAGGTTTGGATTCCAACCTAAGAAAGGAAATTCATCATTAGTGGTTAAGTAAATTTAGTCTTACAAGCAACAAAAAACTCTATGTTGTTCAATATCTTTTCCTAACATTACCCAATGACTTTCTATTAAGGACTCACCCTAAATATGAGACACATTATCACTTTATTTTCTCTAAAACACTAACCCCTTAGTGTTTTAATCACTAAACCCTGGTGATTAATTTCAACCAATAAGATAAGTGATGTTGAATTTACAACTCAACTAGACAAACCTACAACTATGTCAAGTTACTAAAACATAGTGTGGTATATATAAAATAACAAGGACTCTTGTAAGCCTAACACTCTAAAATATTCAATGTAAATGCTTGAATTTAAATGTAGATTTTGAGCTCCTTATATAGAATAATAATTCTAGGGTTTTCTCCTGGAATATTTGATATGATTTTATTCAGAAATAATACAAAATCTGTTAGATATTATTTGTTCCATAATTCTCTCAAACAATATATGATTTGTTATAATTAAAATTAAAATTTAAATCTCCATTTATATTTAAATTAATCTTCTTCCATCCATCAAACAAATCACTCAAGCATATTGTTAAACCAATAGCAATAAAATCTGATCCAATCTTTGACTATAAAATCTTCCAAAACGCAACAATATTGATTTGTTGCACAAGGCTAGATTAATCTTGAACACTTTTAATACTTCTCCATATTATTATTTTGCAAAATACATTTAATCCAAATGGACAATTTAAAAGAAACTTCGTAAGTGAAATGATACAAAAACAAATAAACAATAACACTTCTTAAAACTTACTAACTAGTAGTCTGGTAGTTAAATGTACTTATATTTATTTTTTGAAAAAATTACATATATTTAAGACCAATGAATATTAATACATTTTTTTTAATAAGGAAATATACCAACCAAAAAAACAGAAACAAAACCTACTCAAGGAAAAATGAACCTAAAGAAAGACAAACATAGTCTATTCTTTACAAAATTTGTCCTAAAAAAATTGGAATGCTAGTGTAGTTAGAGTAATCAGTTACCGTTAGACCAATATTTATTAAAGTATTCGCGCAACTGTTCCTTTATCTGAAAATGTGAGAAGCAACAAAAGACATATTGTTAACCAAATTAATACAATTAATCCATTTGGATCGGATTTGCCAGGACACCTGGAAAGGAGGAGAAAATTCCCGAAACATTGAAAATTAATTTGCACTGATCCGACCAATTCCTCTTGTAGACCTGCCAAATATCATCCCAATTTGAGAGAGAGGAGCTAATATTTAAAGCATTCTCCAACCACTTCCAAAGAATCTTAGCATACTGGCACTCAAAAAATAAATGCCAAGTAGTTTCTTCTGCCGCTGAAGACAGGCTACAAATAGAAGGGAAAACAAAATTCATGCGCTTGAGAATCTCGTATGTAGGAACCTTATGAAGCAACAATCTCCAAACCATGAACGACTTCGAATGAGGGATAATTTTCGACCAAATCCACTTAGTCCAGTCCAAGTAGACGCCTGGATTTCACTTGAAATTAAAGGCAGCCTTTAGAGAGAGATCACCCGAAGGAGAGCAGGTCCAAATGCGCTTATCAGGATGTCGATCGAAAGGTATATGGCAATTGAGAATTCTAACCTGAATCAAAACCGGAACCGTTCCAGCTGCAGTAGAGAAGTTCCAAGAATTATTCACTATGAAAGAACTGACCTTTAAATCCTCCTGCACCAAAATATTCCCCATCTTTAAGAATAGCAGGTCACTGCACCAAGAGTCTAGTCAAAAATTTATAGAATTACCATTACCAAGCAACCAAGAAGAGTTATCCTGGACAACCGGAATCTCAGCTTCAATAGAAGACCAAATCAAAGAATATATATGATGCTTAATAAAATTGTTGTTACACAAAACCCGACTACGAGAAAGAACTGCCCAGTCCTTATCCGAGTTAAAAGAATCCCAAGCAAGCTTTAAATTTGATGATGCATTTAAATCAAGCAAAGAACGAATGTCGAGGCCTCCTTCAGAAATAGGCTTGCATATTTTCTTCCAGGCCACAGTGATAGATTTCTTACTCAATACATTACCACTCCAAATAAAATTCCGGGAAATTTTTTCAATTTCCCTCAATAAAAAAACCGACCAGTCGTAAATTGACATAGAGTGAATGATCATACTTTGTATAGAGGATTTGACCGATTCCACTCTTCCAGCAAAAGAGAGCAGATAACCTTTCCAAGAAGCAAGCTTGAGGATAATTTTGTTGGCAATCGGCAGAAGGAACTTTGCTCTAGGCTTTCCTTTAAAAATTGGGGCTCTGAGGTACATGAAGGAAGGGGGACCAGCATTGAAACTAGATAAAGACGAAAGAATGTTGAGACAAGCTGTTGACATTGCTCCGCTGTAAATAAAATATTTGATACAGTTAACCACTTGACCCGAGGCTAGCGCGTAAGCCCTAAAAACTGAAACTAGAATATTCATGCTGGTAATACTCCCTTTGTAGAAGATAAGCACATCGTTTGCGTATAAGATGTGAGAAGGGACCTTAACATTCCTAGGGCCTTCAATCAAAGCAAGCGAACCGGAAGTGACTTTACTGCTAATAAGCCTGCTGAGCACCTCTTCCGCAAGACAAAATAAGAGAGGGGATAGGGGGTCCCCTTATCTGACTCCCTTAGAATAATTAAAGAACCCGTGAAGAGCTCCGCTGACCAAAACAGACATCCAGGCGAAGTGAAAAATACAAGAGATCCACTAACAGAATTTATCATTAAAGCTAAACTTTTTCAAGACTTTGAGAAGGAAGTCCCATTATAACGTATAAAACGCCTTAGAAATATCCACTTTCAACACCACATTGCCACAACAAGAATTGGAGTCTAGAAGATTGAAACCCTTCGAGGCTAACGCGATACAGTCTTTGATGTTTCTCCCGTGAATAAACCATCTTTGCTCTTGAGAGATCAAAAGCGGTAAAATAGAAGCAAGCCTGACCGCAATGATTTTGGAAATAATCTTAAACTTCAAGTCAGAGAGAGAGCTATAGGACAAAAAAGATCCAAGGAATCGGCACTATCAGTCTTTGGAATGAGCATTATCACGTTAGAATTGAAACTGTGAAGAAGCCAACCAGAAGAAAAAATTGAATGACCGCTTCCGAAACCTCAAGCTTGATAATATCCCAATAAGATTGATAGAAAGAAGCTCTGAAACCATCCGATCCAGGGGAACTATCCTTATCATAAGAGAAAACAACAACTTTAATTTCCTCCAGAGATGGAAGAGCAATAATCATCGCATTCATCTCGAAGTTCACTAGGCTAGGGATAATGTCATCCACCAAAGAACTATCCTGCAAAAAAGAGTCACTATTAGAAAAAATATTTTTGAAATATTCCACTGTGTGCAACGCAATATTAGTCAGACTCATAATGATATCATCCTCATTCTTAAGAATAGAAATAGGTTCGAAGGCATTTATGATTTTAGAAATTCTATGAAAATAATTAGTATTGCGATCACCCTCAAGATGCCACTTAATATTGAGCATGGCTTTTCAAAGGTGGAGGTGAATTCGGATTCTCGGGTGGTTGTGGAGGTGTTATCTAAAGTTAGGAAGAAGGCTTCAGGCTTCTCGAAAATGGAGCAGCAGATTATTCACTTGTTGGCTGCTATTGGAGAGGTGGAAATCACCTTTACTTATAGGGAGACAAATGGTTGTGCTAACACTCTTGCTTGCCATGGGAGGGTGTTGAAGAATGATATTCAGATTTTTCATGAGGCTCCTGATTTCTTGATGAAGAGTTTGAAGATGGACATTGATGGTGTTCTTGTTTCTAGGCTTCTTGTTGTTTAGCCTTTTGTTGTTTTGGGCTTAGGCCCTCCCTACTACCACAAAAAAAAACCGAGTTTAAATTCAAAACTTCTAGATAAACCAGAAAAGACTCATATCATATCATCCAAATACTTTTGAATAGTATAATAGTCTTATTATAATTTGCCAAATATAATATTAACAACATTATACAAAAAATAAACTACTTTCACCATAAAGTTTTACAAAATCATTCAAAAAAATCAACAAGCAACACAACAAGAAAAAATTATTGACCGTATACTTCAACACTGATTGGTGTTGTTGACTGATACCTGTATAGTTTCAAAAGCATTCAAATTGACTTCATGAAGAAAAAAGAAAATAATAATAATAACAAATCATATATTACACGGTTGCTAAATACACCCCCATCAAAACTATGTAGCAACTGCATCTCTTAGCAGCATTTTGTTTTTGCTTCAAAAGCTCTATGAAGAATTTGAACTCATTTATCCTGTAAAACTTTGATCACCTCAATGAGGCTAATGAATCATTTTTTCATTGAGATTCTTTCTTCAGTGCCATTTGTGATGCTTGATATCAGGGTAAAGTCCCAAAACATGTTCCGGCATGAAATCGTGGCGCGTAAGAATCCCTACGATAGGAGGTCTCTGCAAAGTGTAGAGATTGTCAGCAAATTTTGTACCGAGGGTCCGTTTAGATTAACTTATTCGATCTTATCTAGTGACATAGAAACATGCGAGATTGTTTTAGAAGAGTTTATTAAAACAATTTATGCATATAATATCGACTACTATTACGAATGTGCAAGCAATATCATACCTCTTGGCTCTTCGGAACAACACACATGTGCCGTAGTCCTTGTTGACGGAAAATAATAGCGGCTTTAGCAAGTGACATTGTCTCAACTACAGTGTACGGTGATGTATTGGTTATCGGATGAAGATCAACGTACATATCCAAATCTTCGTCTCCGATATCTAAATCTTCTAATTTGACTCCTTTTCCCGATCCCGCCTTTCCAAAATCCAGCACCGAAATATTTTCTAAGATACCCGCATCCGCGAAAACCCTCTCTCTTGTAAAATTCTTTGCCTTTAGTAAAACTAGTAAATAAGACCTTAGCACGAGTCCACACAACTCTCGTGAGTCCGAGAAAGGTGGTTCATCAATGACCGGAAACCCGTTGTGTCCTGTTGTATTCAAAACATGTAAAATATTCCCGACCATTTCGATGCCAGAAAAGGACATTAATGGACCCGTGACAACATCGCGTGTAGCTATGTTCCTCATGTATGGTTCGGCGTGCGCTTCTAAATAAGGAAGTCCTTTGATCTTCAATATTTGATCATAGACACCTTTGTTGAAAATGTCAGCCACAGATTTCGAGATTAATAATGCCAACATCACGAGTGGAAGTAACAAGAGATCATTAGTGAGTTCGAGTAATATAACACAAATCGAGACCGTCATTCTCATTGTGCCGCCGAGGAAAGAGGCAGCTCCTAGGAGAGAAAAGAGTCCTCGATCAAGTTTTGTGATCGGTTCGAAGAGTCTACCGATAACACGGCCGTACGCAGCACCAGCAAGTATGACAGGAATGAAAAGTCCAGATGGAACAGCGATACCATAGGTAATTATACCGAGAAAGTAAACAGCTGCAAAGAAGATGAACAAACTTGAAATGTGAAACTCTTTGTTTATCTTAGGACTGAATAGATTACGAATAGCATCGTCATTGGTGTTTAGAAAGAGGGAAGCGAGATCATTGTAGTAGCCCGGCGGACATTGGAAGACTTTGTATTCTCCGGATTCGTCTACTGAGGGGCAGGCTATCGTCCCATCTGTAGGGCAAGGGAGACAGTTTGCAATCCATGGTAGGAAATAATAACAACATGATGTCAAAAGAGAAACTGTAATTGCAAGAGAGATTTTGAAAAATGGACCCTTTCTGCAACAAGAAGAAAAAGAAAGAACTATTAGTTATGATGGTAATGCACTAGATTAGACTATAAATCAGTTTTGGATAGGTTTATTTAAACTTATGAAAATAAGTTATGACAATATCTATAAGTTGTTTTTAGCTTATTTTCATAAACTATTCAAGATAGATTAAGAAAACATCTTATAACTTATATAAATGCTCAATTATGTTGACTATCCAAACAAGGCCTATTGTTCTGGACTGTTCACAAGGCCCAAACGGAAGGCCCTAGAGCACTACCAAAGCGTGGAGAGCAAGTGAACCTTCATTCATCCAAGAACATGCAATTCCGCCCTCTAGACACGTCTATCACCGTCTAATTAAATCCAACGGCTACCCGTACAACGAGCCTCACCTCATGCAGATGGTTTTAACCGCTCTCACTATAAAAAAAGAGGAAGGCACGTCATTTCAGGTATTCAAATCCAGTTTCACTCTCGTATTACTTTTCATTCTTTCACTGACTTGGCGGAGGGCTAACCTTGCAGGTCAGCCCCCTTTCCACCATACGAAGATTTTATTTCACTATTCATCGAACATTTTGGTTCCATTATGGAACACCTATGATGAATGGCGCTAAGAAAGAAGCAAGTATATTGGCCAATAAATATTCAACATAAAAGCGAGGACATACTCATTGATGATGCTATATGAACGAACAACCTTGTCGACGAGGAAATTATAAATGCTTCCGAGAATACCAGCAATAGTCGCCAAGACTATAACTGCGAAAATGTCACCGCTATTATATGTTACTTTGGCCGAACTAACATCATACAATATAAGACCACCTTCGCCAAATAGTCCACATTTCCCGGTCGAACAAAATTGAATTCCACCTCGTAAAACAATAGCAACTACTGCTGTAGTAAAAAATGACCTCCATAGAAGAGCACTCCTCCACCAGGAAGCTGCCTCTTCAAGGGCAAAGAGGACACCACCTACTGGAGATCGAAAGGCTGCGGCAACACCAGCAGCTGCACCACAAGTAATCATGTCTCGCCGGTCTCGGTCATTTTTGAAATACCTAAGCCAACTCCAAGTCAAACCATACTTTCGAGATCCGCCTTGCCCCAAAATAGAAGCTATGCATGCTCCTGTATGAACCATAGGTCCTTCTTTTCCCACCACAAATCCAGCAGACACTCCAAAGATGGAACCGACAATCTGACATTTGAAACATAATCATCAGATCATTTGAAACATTTGACTTTTATCTTAATCACTTCTAAACTTTGTAGCACTGACACCTCTAAAAAAAGGTGTGTCGTGTCAGTGTCGGTGTCTGAAACCGACATTGACATTTGTGATTACCTTTAATTTATTGGTTTTTTTCAAAATATTATCAGTGTTGACATGTCAGTGTATGTGTCGTGTTTCCGGTGTATGTGCTTCTTCTAAATGTTCAATAAATTATGCATCTTTTATCTTCAGAAATTCTAAAGAATGAGAAGAAACTTGGTTCCACTACTTTAGTATTATTCACCTTTACAAAAAGAGTGGATGGAGCCAGAATCGAGTGAGCATCGATGCCGTTGAGATATGCTTTAACCTCCGGAATGCCAGAGCCTGCTGCCGACGGAGCAATGAAAGCACAGAGAGCTGCAGCCGCTGCTGCTAAACCCATATTCAAACCGGCATATACTAGAAACGCCTCAA